GCTGGTGATCTGCAAACAGTGCTTCAAGTGTTGCCGGGAGCATGGTTTGGCCTAACTGGCGATGTCGCCAGAGCGCACCGATTAGTGCGGGTGGCTGAAGAGGATTGGGGGTTGCAAGCTTGCAAGACAGGCGTGCGTCCCGATCGCATTTGGATCAATACAGTGGGCACATTTGGCATAGGAAGCGCTGCGTATTATTGGAGTAGGCTCATGGCAGGTATCGGTCGTGCTGCATTTTACATGTTAGGTCAGAGCGAGTTATTCATGCTAGTCTATGTAGACGATTTGCTCTGGATCACGCGTGACAAAATGGGCATTGAAAAGACTATCTTGATCATCTACTTCATGACGGTACTGGGCTTGCCTTTTGCTTGGAAAAAATTCAAAGGTGGTGTGGACCTGGCATGGGTCGGGTTTGAAATCAGCTTGGCAGTAAGCTGGGCCTGTCAGTGGCGCGGTCGCAATGGTTGGTCAAGTGGCTTAGTGAAACAGCTGATACAGGTCGCGTGCGCGTGGCAGATATGTCGGCAGTGTTGGGCCGGCTCTCATTTGGATTGACGGCGCTAGGTCACTTGAGGCCGTTTCTTGGGCCGGTGTACGCTTGGACAGCAGCTATGACTGGGAAGGTCATTTGGGGGCAGCTGCCAAAGGCGATCATCCTCATCTTCAGGTTTTTGGCAAAGGCGTTAGCGGGCAGTGGGCGACGTCAGTACTGGTTTCAGTGCCACCGGCGCCGGGAGAGCGAGTAGAGCTTTTCCGGACAGATGCACGCGCCGAAGGCAATGAGATCTGGATTGGAGGCTGGGCTTTGGACAGTTCTGACACGAAGCAGTGTAGGTGGTTTTCTGAAAAACTGTGTCTTGCTAACGCCCCGTGGCTTTTTACAGCTGGTGAAGGTTACAGACAGATCGCATCGCTAGAGTTGCTAGCTACCTTGGCCGCAGTCCTTGTGTTTGGGGTGCCTGTAAACATGCGCAGCAAGATGCACTGCTCAGCGGGTACTGACAACAAAGGGAACAGTGGCACGGCTTCTAACAACAAAGTTTCCCCTTGCAGCCTTTCTGATGGAACTTGCAATGCAGCTACAGTGCGTGGGCGCAGATCTGGAACTCTACTGGCTACCGCGGCTTCAAAATCAAGAAGCTGACGCGTTGACCAACGATGACTTGACGAGGTTTGATGAACGGCTGCGCATGAGGTTTGACTTGTCAACCTTCAAAGGCTTGATACTGTCAGATATGCTGGCATGTGGAACAGAGCTGTATGAGGAGATCAGGGCAGCGCAGCGGCGCAAAACACATTGCCATGGACAACGTGGCAGGAAGTCGGACGCCCTCCGGGTAGCGCAGCCATGGGGTTGAAAAAAGAAGGCACGGGGGAGGGCGTGCAGGATTGGAGCCACGTCGCTTGGTTATTCAACATGGGAGTTTTAGGGACAGCGGCGTGGCTGATAACGTTTGACCGTGGTTGACGGTTGTGTTGAACTGCATGGTTTGATTGTGCAGTGATTTGTTCTGCATGATTTACATTTGCAGAAATTCTTCCACCACACCTCCGAATGAAAACAGAGCGCCAGCTCCGGTTTGTTCACCAGGGTTTGCTGAGTTAGGACAACATTCCAGTGATGATTGATCCCTTGGTTCGGAGAATCTGAATGAAACGTTTTTACTTATGGACTTATTGGTTGTAACTTGGACTGGGAATACCTGTGTCAGGGTTGCTAGGATCACTGTGCGGTAGGATCCCGCGGGCCGACACGCAGGGGCGAAAAGGGGGATCCGATAGCACCCTTGGGTTGTGCGGTTGCCTAGTTTTGTTGTTTTTGGGGAGCCTTCTCCTTTCGGTGATGATACTTGGTTTGGGTTGAATTCACAGTAGTGTCCTGGGGAACGGGGGGTAGAGCGGTGGAGTGGCTTCATGATGTCACAGCAGGGCATGTGGTGCAGGAGTGCAAGTGGGATGTGCGGTTCACTTTGTAACATACTTTTGAGATTGAGTCTCTGGGTTGTCATGAGTTTCATGATGTTGTGATAGAGTTAGGATCTCTTTGCTATCATGGAGGTTCATGATGTCACTGACCATGTGGATTCATGGCAGTTGTGCTAGCTGGCCACTAGCGGTTGTTTAGCGTAACGGATGGGTTGCGCGATTGGCGTAACGGATTAGTTGCGCGATACTTGGTGTTCAGTTTTCTTGAGCACCCGCCCGCCCACCCTGGAGTTTTAGAGACAGCGGCGTGGCTGATAACGTTTGACCGTGGTTGACGGTTGTGTTGAACTGCATGGTTTGACTGTGCAGTGATTTGTTCTGCATGATTTGCATTTGCAGAAATTCTTCCACCACACCTCCGAATGAAAACAGAGCGCCAGCTCCGGTTTGTTCACCAGGGTTTGCTGAGTTAGGACAACATTCCAGTGATGATGGATCCCTTGGTTCGGAGAATCTGAATGAAACGTTTTTACTTATGGACTTATTGGTTGTAACTTGGACTGGGAATACCTGTGTCAGGGTTGCTAGGATCACTGTGCGGTAGGATCCCACAGAAGAGGAATTGGTCTTTTTGTTGCGGTCAATACTTGGTGAGGGTGCAGAAGGTTCGTTATTGCTGGAATTGCAATCGCGTGCAGAGCGGACGATCCATTGCCTCCACAAGCGGCGGGCATTGGTCCCTTCGGAGGTAAAATGGCTGTCGGTATTCAATAAAGCAAAGCGCCAGTGTGTGGTGGCTAGCGGCGTGGTGCAAACGGTGCCGGGCCTGGCAGCGTGTGGGGCCCTGCGGCGGCAGGGCCGGTACAAGACCCGCCGAGCCAGGGGCTTGGCGCGAGCTTCAGGAGAAGAATCTCGCCAGGCCGTGGAAGCACAAGAATTGGTGCGTTGGCGCAAAGAGCTTGCGTCTTTGATCGTGGATGGTAACCCCCCAACCGTAGGATTGGGAAGGTCAATCCCTTGCTGTGGAAGGTTAAAGGTGCCTTGGCTTTGTGAATGCTTTGTCAGCGATTTGTAGCTTTGGTATGCTAAGTGCAGCTGCGGCATACAGGGCAAGGGCCCAGTTTGTGAAAGTTGTATTGCATTTTGTGTTGTTTTCTTTCTTGTTTGCTGTTGCGGCCGGTTGTGTTCGATGTTGCGCAAGCCGGTCGCGCGGTCGAGGTTCCAGGCCGATGATGTGTCCTCGGCAGAGCCGCGCCCCAAATACCGGAGGCTGGTGTTCATTCCTCGCTTTTCTTTGTGTAAAGAAGAAGAAGAAGTGATACCCAGTGGCCAATTGGCCTGCGAAGTTCAATCCCGCGGGCGTGTGGCTTCTCGTCCCTGCAGGACATTTTCTTCTGAACAGGTTGATTCTGCCCGTGCCTTGGAGGATTCTGATAGGCGCAAGTGGGCGCGGGAATGGGGCCGCTGCGCCCTTCAAGTGGCTGAGAAGAGCTGTTGGTTGAAGGAGGCCGCGGATTTGTCCCCAGAAAACATCATCCGCACTTTCTTAGATCGAGCACCTGCGACGCTGAAGAAGCATTTGCAGGGCTGGCTTCGTTGGACTGCCTTTTGCTTATTGTCCGGTTTTGAGGTAGCAGCACCTTCGCTGGCACAATTATTTACGTTTCTTGATAGCTTGGCGGTTGGTTCCTTTTTGGACCGTGGCCGTGGACGCAGGGCCTCCGCTGTAGCAACGCTTGCTGCGCTACAGTTTGGGGCCTGGAAGCTGGGGCTCCCAGTGCTGGGGAACTTGTTGGTTTCTGCTCCAGTGAAGGCTTGGAAAAAGGGAACGGATTGGCACAAATCGCTCTGCAGGGAGGCGGTTCCTTTGCCTGTTGCTGTAGTCCAGGGTTTAGAGCAAGCTGCCAGTCAAGGTTCGGAAGATAACTTGTTTCTTTGCAGTATGCTGCTAATGTGCTGGTGTGGCTTGCGGTGGTCCGACCTCCAAAGGATTAGCTTGGATAAGGTTAGCCTGTCAGATGGCATACTTCGCGGATCTTGTTGGCGTACCAAAGCTCGTAGGCGTGGCATGGTCTGGGACTGCATGTCAGATGGCTTCCTACAGAGTGCTTGGGGTGATCGTTTGTTTATGCATATTCAAGATATCCTGCGTAGGCACCCATCACAAGACTTCTTGTTAGAGTTCAACGGGCGCCCAATGTCCTACAGCATGGGTCGTGCACAATTCAGGCGCTGTTTGCATATCCATGGCGGTGTTGCGTTGGAAGCTTGCTTGACCTTCAGCTTGCATTCCTTGAAGACAACTTTGTTAACGTATGCCAGTCAACGTGGCGTGGACCGCAATTTGCGTGCGGCGCAAGGGCATCATCAGCTGAAGGAAAATAATGCCTGTGTGGAGCTGTATGGTAGAGATGATGTGCAACCTATGCTGGAATGTCAAAAACAAATCCGTTCAGCAGTGCAGAGCGGCTGGGTCCCCGCAATTCCTTTACAGCGTGGCTTGGTCTTGCTGGATACCTCTGCCAATCCTTGTGTAGGCAATGTGGAGGAACCGTGCCAAGATGATAAAACAGATGTGTCAAGCGACGGGGAGATCAGTGTCATTGAAACAAGTTCCAGCGTGTCCTCAGTACCTTCCAGTGATGTGGAATCGGTAGGCTCCGACGTGCGGGCAAGTTGTGATGTAGCCGATGAGGTCCTTCATTTTCAAGGGCCTTGGGTATTAAATTGCGCAGGCGGTGTGGTCCACAGAGCTTGCTGGACGGAGGAGTCAGACATTTTTTGCATCGCCTGCCGCCCCTGTGCTGTGCTGCACCGTGGCTATGAACTACACCACAATGATCCTTGCAAACAAGGGTTTATTATGTGCAGACATAGTGGGTGTGCGACCCCAGTGGAAGTTGTGCGCTAACAATTGGCCCATGTGCCTAGTTTGGTAAGCGACTCGCTCTCCTGGCTTGCAGTAGCCTTTGATGCCGGTTGCGGTGACCAGGGGTGTATTGCGATTGTTTACTTTATTTGTCTACATTGTGCAAATTGTGGCCTGGTTGTGACCTTTACACCGGTTGCGGATGCCGGTTGCTTGGGTGTGGTGTTGGCATTGGGGCGGCCTGGTGCTCCGGTTGCGGGTGCCGGTTGCTTGTGTGGTGTTGGCCTTGCGGTGGCCTGGTGCACCGGTTGCGGATGCCGGTTGCTTGTGTGGTGTTGGCCTTGCAGTGGCCTGGTGCACCGGTTGCGGTTGCCGGTTGCTTGTGTGGTGTTGGCCTTGTAGTGGCCTGGTGCACCGGTTGCGGGTGCCGGTTGCTTGTGCGGTGTTGGCCTTGCGGTGGCCTGGTGCACCGGTTGCGGTTGCCGGTTGCTTGTGTGGTGTTCGCCTTGCGGTAGCCTGGTGCACCTGTTGCGGTTGCCGGTTGCTTGTGTGGTGTTGGCCTTGGGGTGGCCTGGTGCGCCGGTTGCGGATGCCGGTTGCTTGTGTGGTTTTGGCCTTGCGGTGGCCTGGTGCTCCCGTTGCGGCTGCCGGTTGCTCGTGTGGTGTGGCCTGGTGCTCCGGTTGCGGGTGCCGGTGGCTTGTGTGGTTTTGGCCTTGCGGTGGCCTGGTGCTCCCGTTGCGGATGCCGGTTGCTCGTGTGGTGTGGCCTGGTGCACCGGTGGCGGGTGCCGGATGCTTGTGTGGTGTTGGCCTTGCGGTGGCCTGGTGCTCCGGTTGCGGTTGCCGGTTGCTTGTGTGGTGTTGCCTTGCGGTGGCCTGGTGCTCCGGTTGCGGATAGCCTTGCGGTGGCCTGGTGCACCGGTTGCAATTGCCGGTTAATCGGTTTGTATTTGTTTTATGTTTTCTTGCGGAGTTTTTCAGCTTTATATTTTGGCATATCACAAAGGTGGTGATTATTGCTGGTTGTTAAGCCTCCTGTTTGCCTTGCAGTGGCAGTGGTTTGCCCCGGTTGCGGTCCCGGGTATTGATTTCCTCGCATGCTGGAATTTGCATGTTCGAGTAGCAAGTAGCAGCTGGTTCACAACTCAGCGCGAAGCTTTCCAGAGCCATTCAGCTCTTTTCATTGTTTCTTTGCTGCTGCAAACGAAAGCCATGTCTGCTTGGGAAAAATGCTTAGAAGCAGCAAAGATCCCAGAGCCTGCGCGAGCCAAACTACTTGAGCTCGGCTTCGACACCCAAGAAGCTTTTTCTTTCAAAGATGAGAAAGTGTTCGAAGTGTTTGCCAAAGATTTCTTGCTGGTGGACTTGAAGCTGGACGGCGCAACTGAGACAAATTGGGCTTGTAAGCCTTTGGTGCAAAAGCTTCGTGCCCTGTGGATGAAGGGCTGTGGCGGCGGTGCTGCGCCACAAGCTTTGGCATTGCCTTACACTCCAGTTGTTGTGGGGGCGTGTCCTGGATCAGGTTTGCTGCTTGGTTCCAACAAAGGTTTGACAGTGGCTGACCGTGACCAGTTGCGCCGCGCCCTGGAGGCAAAGTATACAGGTTGTGTGGTGGACTTGGAATCACTTCCTTCCATGCCTTTTCTTAACATTGTGAAGACGCAGCATGACAACAAGGCTTGGGATTGGTTGCCATGGAAGAAGGTGTTGAGCGAAAAGGTGGCTTCTGCGCTTAAAGATAAGAAGCCTGCTCTCGGGCCCCTAGAAGTTTTATGCGGGGCGAATGTGGAGGAGCAGTTGGACCGTGAGTTGTCCAATCAGCCTTTTCCTATTTTGCAGTTGCTGACAGTGCGTGGGCATGCGTATGCCATGGTTGGGAGCGGGCACTTAGGTAGCTGGACGCTTTACAACAACAGGTTCATGAAATTCTCTACTCAGGTGCCAGGACCCCACTTGCGTTTCTGCTCGGCCCAAGAAGCCGAAGAGGCAGACCAAGCTGCAATGAGAGAAGTCTTCAACTTGTGCTATGCAGGTTCGAGCATTGATGATGCTTTACATTCAATTGCTGTTGACAGGGATATGCTCAGGTCTCTCTTGATGCCTCGTCCAAAGTTGGAAAAGTTAAGCAGAGAGCCATTGGCGCGGAAGCGCCCAACAGCACCGGCCACAGGTCCATCAAAACGCTTACGCAATGGAGAGTGTTTCAAGTGGCGCCTTGGTGAGTGCAAGCTGAAGAACTGCCGGTTCGCGCATGCTTGTGCAGCGTGCGGAGCCACAGATCACCATGCTGAAATTTGCAAAGAAGCAAGCGCAGATCATCGGAAGATCCCAAAGACCAAGCCGCGGGGCGGCAAATTTGAATGACTATCTATCTCGCCAGTAAATTCTTCTGAGCAGGATGCGCCGGCGCAAATGGTCCAAGTACCAAGCGGTTTGCCACATAGCCTGGATGCTTGCGGATTGTTGCGGCTGAAAGATGGTGGTGGTATAGATTCAACTGCTGACTGGTATCTTCCCAAGGGTGTAGATTTGCTTGCGGAACTGCGGAGCCAATTTTTGGAGTTGGTGTGTGAGTGGCAGCTACTACCACGCCTGCGCTCCCACGTAGCGCAGGCTAGCCGGGAGCCTTTGCTGTGCGAAGATGAAGTTCAGTGTGTGAGGCAACGCTTAGCGGACTTTCTGATGAGCAAAGGCTTCCCTTGCAAGGTAGAGGTGCCGCCGGGTCAGCCACTAACTTTGGACCTGTGGCATGCGCTTTTGCTGTTCTGCGACGACATCGATGTGAAATTGCCTGGCATTTTACGTGAGGGCGTGCCCACAGGCATTTTGGAAGATGTTTTACCTTCAGGGGTGTGGCGTGCAGTAGACAAACCTGTGCGCCCTGAAGGCGTGGAACTGGAGATCTTAGATGAGCCCTGGGGCTCAGCGTTGGAAGATCCAGACTGCGTAATGCGACTAGTGCAAGCAGATGTGGAAGCCGGGTTTGCTGACTGGATTCCTTGCGGTGTGGAGGAGGCCCGGCGCCTCTTTGGGGCCAATTGTGCGGCCGGCAAGTTGGGCTTAGTCAAGAAAGCTGGCTCGGAGCCAAGGTTAGTGGGTGACAGCAGCATCAGTTGCGCCAATCAGCTATCTCGCATCCGGGAGAAGATTGAGCTCCCAAGTTTGTTTGATGTGGAGCAGTTTGTGTCGCGGCACCCCAGTGACAGGTGGATTGCATTTTCTCTTGACGTAGCCAAGGCACACCTGCGGCATACAGGGCAAGGGCCCAGTTTGTGAAAGCCCGCCCTCCCGCCCTGATTTGGGCGTGTGGAGAAGAAGTGAATGGTTGCTTTTGTTCCTGGTTTGCCCCCAAGGTGGGCATGTATGAGTGGTGCCCCAGCCAGCACAGGGCTGGCCTGGGGTCACCAGCAGTTTGTGTCTCCACCCCCCTGCAGTGCTGTTTGGGTTTAGAGTTAACCTTACACCAAGAAAGGGATGCTGCGTTACCCGTGGTTGAGCCCATGGCCTTGGTCCGTGACCGAGACGCAGTGCTGCTTGGTGCGTTGGGCCCGGCTAGAGCGAGCACCATTCGCAAGCATGTCAGAGAGTGGCGGAAAGCTCGCGCATTTTGCTTGTCAGTGTCTGGAAAGCCGTGGCCCGAACACATTGGCGTCGTTTTGGATTACCTGCATGAAAGGCAGTTGGAACCGTGTGCCCGCAGTGTGCCAGCAGCTTTTCTAGCAGCCTTGTCGTTCATTGAAAAGGTCGGTGCAGTCCGGCGCACACAGCGTTTGTCTGAAGCTTCTTTGTTGCGAAACACGGTCAACCAACTGACTGCTGACTTGGAAAGCAAGGCGCCGCCCAAGCGACAAGCGCCCATGTTGCCGCTGTCTATCATAGGCGCGACAGAATTGGCTGTCAGTGATAACTCTTTGCCGACTTATACGCGTGGGTTTGCCTTTTACAAATTGTTGCACAAATGATTTATTTGGCTTGAGCCCTGACTCATTGCGCTTGTCAGAGCATGGCCTTCAGGGCACATTGGACCGCACCAAGCGCAGCGGTCCCGGGAAGAGGATCCGATTTTTACCTATCTTCATCAGCCGCCGCGTCTTCGTAATGAACCCAAATTGGCTGGTGGACGGCTGGGCCATTTGGCAGCAAGAGAGCATGGGGTGTCAGCGCGACTACTTTTTGCCGCTGCCTAGGGCAGACCACTCTGGTGCGAGGCGCAGCTTGGCCGACTATGCGCGCACAATAGCATTGAACAAAGAATTCCTCAGCCAATTGCGAGTGCCTATGTGGACGGGTGAAATTTGGGCCTCGTCGTCTGATTATCTCTTTTCCTTGCATGATACTTTGGCTTTTTGGACGGAGCATTCGGAGCGGAACTGGCTCATTTCAGTGTTGGCTAGCATTGGAGTGCCGCGTGAAAAACGTGAGTTCATTGGCCGGTGGCGTGCAATTTCTGCTTCTGACGAATATCTGCGAAACTGCTAAAACTATGGTAATTTCCCTTCAGGAACAAGCTTTGGCAGGCATGATGCGTGATGAGCGGTGGAATCTGCAAAATGGTGGCTTAGAAGATTTGCCTGAATTTTTGATAGCGCGTGGTGTCCACCAGTGTGTGGCAGCATCACAAAAGGACTTGCTACAGCTACCCCGACAGTGGCATCGGGGGCCGCTGCCACCAGCCCCTGAGGAGGAGGTGCCAGCACTGAGACCTGCCATTCCTTCTTCATTGGAACAGGACCGCGAGTGTGTCGATTCGCCTTATTTCATTGCCATTGTAGGGAAGAAACGTTTGCGCCGCTTGCATCGTCGTGGAGGCTGTGGCACTGACCCGGCTGAGTTGCATGAAGTTGAATGGGTGGAGACTCTTCAAGGCGCGGTGTATGATTATTCCTGTAAACATTGCTGGCGCAAGGAGGCTTGCCCGACAGATATCCATGCTTGCGAAGCAAGTTCTTCCAGCAGCGAGAGCTCCAGCTCGAACTCTTCTAGCAGTAGCTAGCTAGTGTGTGACCCCCGCGCATGCGTTTCTCTAGGGTGGGAAAACTAAAGGGAGGTATCCCTTGCGGTTGGCTTGCTGTCCCAGGTTAGTGTCAGGGTATAGTATCTACACTTTGGGCCAGCGCCAAAATCGTGTCAACCAGCGATTCCAATTTCTCTTGGAGATTGTGCATGCTGAAATAGGTTTGGGTTAGTCGTTGCCCCTGCAAACAGGAAACAAACGTGTGCTCACATTTATAAACATACCCATTTTCCTGATGGCTACGGCTCAGAGTGCAGTCAGTGTCTGGCGTTAACATACTCCGGAGCGTTCACACGTTTCCAGCTGGGATCCAAGGCCGGAGTGTGATGGAGGTGTTCGTGTTACTTTAAAAAAAAAAGTCAGAAAAGGCGTTAGGCCTGCATAAGAAGGGTGGAGCCCTGGTAAGGGAGCCACGGTCCTTTTCCTTTCAGCTGCCTAGTTTGGGGGCTGTGGTAAGGAGATAATTTTTCCCTGTGTCTTCTCGTGACTCATGTCTTGCCCTGGCAGGTGACCTTCAACCATGTCGACCCCTACGGAAGAGGAGCTGTTCAAGTCAGTTGAGTCAGAGTTGAAATTTATTATGGATGAAGCGAGTGTGTCTCGCGACATTCAAAAATTGGTCTACAGCAAAGGTTTCACCAGTGTGCCTGTTTTTGTGGGCATTGAAGAATCCAAAGGCGAAGTGCGAAAAATGTTGGCATCGCTGTTGCCCTTGGACTACGCGGCCAGTGCGGAGAATTGCAAACACATGGCCCTCCTGCTGTCCACATGGGACGCGGCACGCTTGCAGCTTTCCATCCATGAGAAAAACAAGGCAGATTCTAAGTTGGGTGTGCAAGCCCGGCTGGTGCAATCCACGGAACAGGCATCCATGACAGCGGCTGTGGAACCATGGCATGGAAGACTGTCCGACCGAGCTCCCGAGCAAATCGCTGCTGGCGGCAAAGCTGGAGCAAGTGGAGGAGAATGCTCCCTACCCTGAAGATCTGCGTGATGTGACCAGTGTGGAGGACGCAGCCACTGAAGCCTATGACGCCATCACCCAGCATCGTCAATTTTGAAGATCAAGCCTGGTCGCACGATGACCACGCCCCCAAAAACACCTGAGGAATTGAGGCGTCGACATCGGCGGATTGGCTTGGCCTGGGAGATGGTCCGCTCCAAGCACATGAACCGGTCTTGGCTTCCTGAGCGCTGCACAGATGCGTTCCGCAAGCTGAGTGATCACGTTCTTGGTCCTCGGGTTGCGGATTTGCGTTCAGGTGATGGCAGAGCGCCTGCCTGGAGTTTGGTTTTGCAATATGAAGCGGAGCTCCGAAAGCACGCCTACAAATTTGTCCGTGATGGCGAGGCGGCCGACTTGGCTTCAGCCCTCACCATGGCTTGCAAAGCCCCGGACATCATGAACAATTTCTTCATTGTCCCCTTCACTATGCAGGTTCGTGCACCCGCCTTGGAGGTTGAGAGTGTGGTAGCAGGTTCTTCCGGAGGAGGAAAAGGTAAGGGCAAAGGTGCAGGAAAAAATGGCATTCTCAAAAGCATTTCAAAGAAAAGTCAGACCGGTCGCAAGAATGTTTGCTTTGCTTGCAATCGCAAGAAAGGTTGTGAGAGGCCGACCTGCCCCTATGCGCACATTTGCCAGCGTTGCGGCGAACAGCACCCATACCACAAGTGTCCCAAAGTGCAGCGTTCGGCTGGATGACTATCGGTTGATGAAGTGCCGTTGTGTGTTGCAGCTCCAAGCAGCGATGAACCGAGTGTGTGCGCTGGCGGACAGGATGCTCTGCAAGTGCCGGGAGGGTCGGTATCCTTGGGCAAAGGAGGCCTTGGGAATCCTCTCCCGAGAGGGTGTGGCCACGTGGGCGGAAGTTCCCCCTCTCCGAGGGTGTGGACATGATCCCCCTCGTGGCAAATCGGCAACCGCCCCTGCATCGCTTGCAAAAGGGGCCAGGGTTTCGTGCAGGGGCGAAGAACAGGAAGCATCTTCAGATGAGGATGAAGATGGCTTTCAGAAACCGCAGCTGGGCGCAGGCCTTTGTTTGGGGACATGGACCACCCTTGGCTTCCAGAATGCTTGGCAAGCACAAAAATTTCACAGACGGGCTGGGCTTGTGCTCGCCGGGTCGTTGGGCGCCTCAGCGGAGGCTGTGTGCAAGAGAGTGCGCATCTTTAGGTTTTGCTGAGCAACTAGGGAAGGAGTACACGAAGCTATTGAATCAGAACCTAGATGTGCCTTGCAGCTAGCCCTAGGAAGACTGGAAAAGTCCCCTTTCTGCGATGAGCTGGTCCAGGAAGGCAGGGAACTACTCTTCTGCGCTCTAGAGCTTGTTGGCACCAAGTTGCCCGTGAGGAGCAGGCCGGAAGGGCAACCTTTCTTCTTGGCTGCGCTAGAGGAGCTGTTGAGAATCAGCGGTGACCCAGACTTTCGGGCTTTCTACTCTTCCAGCGTTTCTTTTGCGCATGGTGTGCGTGTGGGCTTCAAATCAAAAACTCCTAGAGTGCGGGACGGTTGCACCTGTAGGGGCATTAGGCGATCACTCATAGCCTCACACTTCCTCACACCCCCCTGCCTGGATTTTGAACAGGTGTTGATTTGCTTCAGGTGCCCTAGTGTGCAGGAAAGGATTTCCAATAGAAAAAAGAAATGGCAGTGGAAGGGAGCTGCAAAGTTTGTTGCAAGTGTGGTTGTGTTTTTCCTGTTGCTTTCTTTTGTTATGCTGCGCCGCGCCTTTAACTTAGATGATGTGGCTGCAGACTTTAGGCCTACGCCTAAGCTGCGGCCTTCGCCCTATCAGCTCACAGATTTGAAGCTTGATCAAAGGCGAGAGGTGAGTCGTATCAAAGTGCCCTCTAGGTTTGGTAGACTGGAGGACGTTCCGGTTCCTTGCTGCTCGTCCATCCAAGCAGTAGGCAGCAAGCGTATTGCAGTGCGCAAATTGACAACAGCAGCAGGGCCTATGGGACGGAAGGCTGAAGCAGAGAGAGTGGAGCGGCTTGACCTAGCCCGCACGCTGGTAGGGCTGGCACGCGCAGTGGCCAAACACAGTCTAGTGTTATCGGCTTTGGAGGGAGTCGAAGTTGAAGACATTGCTTTCTTGTTTGGAGACCGTGCACCAGGAACTCTGCGGAAACACCTTTCAGGTTGGCGTAGGTGGGCGAGCTATTGTCAGGGCTGTGCCGTGGATGCTGGCTCCCCTACAGCCAAGGAACTACTTGATTTTCTCTTAGCTTTAGCAGAAGGCGCCCGCTCTGACCGCGGATCGCAGCGTGTTGGGGCTGCTCGTGGCGTTGTTCATGCGATGAAGTTCATGGCTTTCAAATTGGAATTGCACAAGTTTCATACTTTGCTGGCAGGACCGACAGTGTGCGCTTGGCTCAGCAGTGCCAAATGGGATAGGGCACCACCAAATGAAGCGCTCCCTTTGCCACTGTTTGCGAGCTGGAAGAAGCTGCTGCTTCGGGCGCGGAAGAAGACTCTTGGGTGCTTGGTTGTTTGCTCCTCATGCTATGGGGAGCCCTCAGATTCAGTGACGGACAGCGCATTGATCTGGCATCGGTACAAGTTGAAGATGGTGTGATCAGAGGTTGGTGCTGGCGCAGTAAATCGTCCCCCACTGGGTTCCCCTGGGGCGTTTTGACGGTTGGTGCTACTGGTTTGCGCTGGGGCTGCAAGTTTGCAAATAGATTGTTAGCTTTACGAGCGCAGGATTCGGGCAGAGACTTTCTTTTGAGTTCTGATCGTGGGCCCTTGTCTTACGCTGCTGCCGTGGCACAGTTTCGCAGGTGTTTAGGGACTTACACAACACTGGAGCCCACAGCTGTATCCCATTACACCCTACATAGCCTCAAAGCCACAACACTGAGCTGGAGCTTACAAATTTCAGCACCTGTAGAGGATCGTGCTTGCCAAGGGCACCATCGCTTGAGAACAGCAACAGGTAGCGTAGAAAAATATCGCCGTGATGACGTCTTGCCTGCTTTGCGCTGCCAGCGGTTGATACTTCAATCCATTGGCAGTGGCTGGGTGCCACAAACAGCCTTGTCGCGTGGTGCTTCATCCATCATGGAACATGCTCCTGAGCGCGTTGTGGATTTGCGCCTTTTACCCGGCGATGTTGCCAGCGGCATTGTTGTCGTACAAGACATTCAGGCAGCAGAACCTGGGGAGGTTTCTGACAGCAGCTGCGACAGCGACACTGATGCGGGAAGCAGTTCAGATGAGGAAGTTGTGCAAAATGGCCCATGGATCCTCAACTCCACTACTGGCTGGTATCACAAAGCCACGCATGTGGACGAGGGCAGTGATATGGGCCTGCTTGCGCCCCATGGTCGTGTAGCACTTTCCTGCCGCCCGGCGCAAGCCCTGGGGGCACAATATCTGGTGCGCACTTCTGATCCCTTTTTGGAAGGTTACTCACGTTGTCACCCAAAGTGTTCGCCTGCGAACAACGAAGCGGGATTTGATGGGACCCCTCCTCGTGATTCTTGTTTTGGGGATATAAAGCTTTTGGGGGACTCTTGGTTCACTTGTTCCATTCTTGTGATTTGCGACTACCTTTTGTGTGGAAGATGCGGATCTGTGTGCGATTGCTCTAAAGGTGACAGGGGGTGAACAGAAGAAGATTTTTTTATATAGGGGGCTTCTGTTGTTGCAAAGGTTCCAAAATAATGGGGATTTCAATTTGACTTAGTGGTATGCTATGGTGTTGGTCTAATTGTTTCTTTATCTTTGGTTTAGTTGTTTTCAGCTTTCTTTTACATGTCTCAGATTCAAATAAATCTATCTGTCATTGTATTTCCTCTTTATTTCTTCGTTTCAAGAATCTGTTGTATTTTTCATTGCTTCTCTTACCTCATTCTGTTTCATTTTGTCTTGCTAATTCTTGTGCTACCTCTGATTTTTTCTAGGGGTCAGAGTGTATATATATATATTTATTATATACATATATGTTGTTTATATTCTGGATTGTTTTCTTTCATCCTTAGGCTTACTTCTATGATAACATTGATTCTTTTCTCTTTTTTGTTGCTTCCTGATATGTGCTTATGTAATGTTTTTCTTTGTGCATCTTTCCCTTATTTTGTTCATGTCTTCATTTTCCCTGCTTTCCTTTTTGGATTTACATAACTACTAGTTTTTGGGTGTCTTCATTCCTTCTGTGGTTGTAGTTGCTTTTTCTTTTGCACGTTCTAGGTTTGTGTGGCTTGGTCTGTTGTTTTGTTGGTTGATTTCTGGTGGAGCCCCTGTAATTTTGTAATGTCACATTTCAATGTAATGTTGTAAAATCTCAAGAATGTATGTATGTCTATGTATCTATCGTTGTACCTATCTATGTATGTATGCGTGTATGCATGTATGCATGCATGCATCATGTATCTATGATGATCGTTTGTTTGGTGTGGCTTAGGGAAGGGCAGAGCATGTGGGTGGAGCTGTAAGAGTGTTCAAGATGTGCCAAATGAGTGCCTGTTGGCATTTCTGCTGAAACCACCCTTATTGGAAATGCCACATCTCCACATCTCCACTCTTGACTCCTTGCTTGCCTGCTTGCTTTGGGCAGCTGCGTGAACAGGCCCGGCGACCCAGCCCAATGCAAGTGTGCCCATCTCCCTACCTACAGCCCCCACCCACCATTCTCCAAGAAAATCGCCCTCCCTCCCCCCCCAGCCCTGGCTGTGCCATAAAAAGAAAACAAGGTTTAGGGCAAACAAACAGGCACTCATTTGGCACATCTTGAACACTCTTACAGCTCCACCCACATGCCCTAAGCCACCCGGGAGCTTTCTCCTCACTTGGCTCTCTTGCGCCCTGCTGGCTCCAGCTGCCATCTCCCATCCACCCATGGCAGTCTCATGTGCCCCACCAAACAAACGATCATCATAGATACATGATGCATGCATGCATATATACATGCATACATGCATACACGCATACATGCATACATTCATAGATAGATAGGTACAACGATAGATACATAGACATACATACATTCTTGAGATTTTAACAACATTACATTGAAATGTGACATTACCAAATTACAGAGGCACCACCAGAAATCAACCAACAAAACAACAGACCAAGCCACACAAACCTAGAACGTGCAAAAGAAAAAGCAACTACAACCACAGAAGGAATGAAGACACCCAAAAACTAGTAGTCATGTAAATCCAAAAAGGAAAGCAGGGAAAATGAAGACATGAACAAAATAAGGGAAAGATGCACAAAGAAAAACATTACATAAGCACATATCAGGAAGCAACAAAAAAGAGAAAAGAATCAATGTTATCATAGAAGTAAGCCTAAGGATGAGAGAAAACAATCCAGAATATAAACAACATATATGTATATAATATAAAACATATATATATATATGTACACTCTGAACCCTAGAAAAAATCAGAGGTAGCACAAGAATTAGCAAGACAAAATGAAACAGAATGAGGTAAGAGAAGCAATGAAAAATACAACAGATTCTTGAAACGAAGAAATAAAGAGGAAATACAGTGACAGATAGATTTATTTGAATCTGAGACATGTAAAAGAAAGCTGAAAACAACTAAACCAAAGATAAAGAAGCAATTAGGCCAAAACCATAGCATACCACTAAGTCAAATTGAAATCCCCATTATTTTGGAACCTTTGCAACAACAGAAGCCCCCTATACAAAAAAACTTCTTACAGTTTTGGATGGTTTGCAGTTGCATTCCTCCAGGATTGCCTTGTGCGGTTGCACTGGGTTGGTGTTTTGTTTGCCTTCTTTTGTTTCTTGTGCTGGCAGCAATGGACCAGCTCAGTGATGCAGAGCTGTGGGTTTGCTTGCCTAAACGTTTGCGCTCCGGCTTGAGCGCAGCGGGCAGCAGGGCGCTGCCTCCCTGCGAAATGCTGGCTAACATGTTTGTTGACAGGGATGACATCATTGATTTCTTCAAAGGCGACATCCTGGTGGCAGACTTGGAGCGGATTGAGCTCCTCCAGCATCGCGCGGAGAAGTCAGCAGTTCGTGTAATAAAACGTAGAGCCAACACATTTCCGGAGCAGCAGGACCTTGGCGTCGCTTCCAAGGCCGCTCGGTGGGAGCCCTTACAGGTGCTCAGACCTACCAAAGCTTGGCTTTCCAGGGCTTCAGGTGCAGTTCGGAGGAGAGCGCCAGGCACGAGGATTGTGACGCAAGCTCCAGCATCGCGCACAGCCGCTGAACAAGCAGATTTGCGGCGGTGGCGCGCGAGTCTTGCTGCCTTGATTACAGAGCTAGGTCTTCCGGCAGCTGCGCAAGCTGCCTTGGTGGACATGCCCAAGGGTGCGTTGGAAGCAGGGCTGGGAACAGTGCGCGCCGCCACCATTCGCAAGCATGTGCGGGAATTCAAAAAGCTGTCGGCCTATTGCAAAGCAGTGTCTGATAGAGCGTGGCCCAAAGATGTAGGAGTCGTTCTGAGCTACTTGCACGAAAGACATTTGGAACCTTGCTGCCGTTCGGTGCCGCGTGCTATATTTTGTTGCATAGCCTTTCTTGAAAAAGTAGGTGGTGTGCCCAACGTGAGTCGCTTGAGTGATTTGCAATTGTTGAAGAATACAGTAAATCAGATGACGATGGATTTGGAAACAGGGTCGCCGCCCAAGCGCCAGGCGCCCCTCCTACCCCTGGTGGTTGTTGCTGCGCTGGAAGTAGCTGTTTGCACTGATACCTTGCCGCTGTTTTTGCGTGGGTTTGCTTTCTACAAGCTTTTGAAAATTTGGGCAGCTGCCCGGCATTCAGACTTGGAAAGCTTGAGTCCCAGCAGCCTTAGCATCAGCCAGGGCGGCCTTGAGGGCAGATTGGACCGGACCAAGACTAGTGGTCCGGGGAAGCGGGTGCGCTTCCTGCCTATTTTTGTTGCCAAGGATGCATTCTTCTTGCGGCCGGATTGGCAAACAATGGGCATGAGTCTTTGGAAAGCGGAAGAAATGAATTTCGAGAGGGACTTTTTCTTGCCTTTGCCTGCAGCGGATTTCTCTGGTTGCCGCCGTAGTATGGCCTCTTACAGCCATGTGGTATCTCTATCCAAGCAGCTGTGGCGATGCTTGCGCTTTCCAACTTTGTCGGAAGGCAAGTGGGTTTTCTCTGATACGTCTTTGTTCGCATCTCCGGACGCAGTGTCCTTCTGGACAGCACATTCAGAGCGCAATTGGCTGGTTTCCATCTTGGCAGCAGCCGGTGTGCCTCGCGAACAGTGGGAGTTCATCGGGAGATGGCGTGCCTCAAGGGAGTACGTACGTTCGGCCAGATTCATTGTGCGCAGCTTGCAGTTGAAGGCCTTGAGTGCCCTAGGCGTGGATCCCTTGCTAAGAAGTTTAGGCATGGACGAGCTGGTGGAGCATCTGCGTAATCAGTGTGGCTTTTGTAATGAAGAACTGGTGGAGCTGAGGGACAAATGTGCGCAATGTGTGCAACAGTTTCCTTTCCATTCTTTTGCGGTGCCTGCTTGCAATCAACCGGCTGCTGGAGCTGGTGCTGGGCCCATGCCTGAAGTTGCACCAGCGGAAGAGCTTGACAGTGCAGTGCCTTTCTTCATTGCAATTGTAGGCCACCGCCGGTTGCGGTGCTTGCAGCGGTCGGGCGGCTGCCCGGCAGCCCCAAGAGAGCTGCGCGAAGTAGAATATCTTCAATCCCTTGAAGGTGCGGTGTATGACTTTGCTTGTAAGCATTGCTGGCGTGGCGGTGCGGAGCCGGGGGAGTCGTCCGAATCGTCGAGCAGCAGCTCGGAGCCTTCAAGCAGTGACAGCAGCGCGACTGAGTGCTAGGTGGCATCCCACCGAGAAACTTATCGCGTGGCAGGGTATTGCTGCGCTGAGAAAGAGCTTGCTGCGGTATCAGTCAAGCGGGTACTTATAGCCTTAGGATAGTGAGCTGGCTGCGGTATCAGTTCAGCCGGTCCTAGACATGGTAGCTTGCTGCGGTATCAGTTAAGCTGGTTACTTGGTCATGGTAGCTGGCTGCGGTATCAGTCAAGGGGGTTTATTTGGTTATGATAGCTTACTGCGGTATCAGTCAAGCAGGGGTCTCATAGGTTTTAGGCTTGCTGAGGATGGTGCCTCGCTACTGCTAGTTGCGCAAGCCACGGACTTGTGGAGTGCGCGAGCATGTCCGCACTACGTGTTTGTCCGCTTCAGCGATTTGCTCAAGTGGACGTAGTGTCGGGTGTGCGTGCAGCAGTGGTGGCATTGGTCCCTCTTGATTTTCTTCCTTATCTTCCTTTCTCGTGCTTTTATTTGCTGTGTTCTGGCAGGTACCCTTCATGACGGTCTCTGACAAGGACATTTTGGCCAAGGTGGAGTCGGAACTCAAGTTCCACATGGACGAGGCGAGGGTGCCTCAGGATGTGCAGCTGCTGGTCTACAAGTGTGGATATGATTCCATGCGAATTTTTGCGGGCTTAGACGATACCAAGGAAGCGGTGCGATCTGCGCTCAAGGAAGAGTTGCCGCTTGACTATACAGCCAGCCCCGAAAAGAGGCGCAACATGGCTCTGCTGCTGAGTGTGTGGGACACCTGCCGACTGCAGTTGTCCGTTCAAGAAAACCACAAGTCGGAGGCCAAGCTTGGAACCCACACACGGCTCATTCAAACCACTGAGCACGCCTCCTTGCGCTCCGCTATTGAAGCAGTGCATGGCGATCTCTGTGACAAAGAAGTGCCAAGCAAAATCCCTGATTGCTCAAAAGCTGGAACAGGTAGAAGACAATTGCCCGGAGCTGGAAGATCTCCGGGAAGTCACATCGGTAGCAGATGCCGCCACCGAAGCCTATGCTGCGGTGATTGACCCTACAAGCAACACTTTGCGATTCAAGCCTGGGAAGACCATGACCACTCCCCCCAGCACGCCTGAGGAATTGCGACTGGGGCATCGCAGGTTGGGTCTGGCATGGGAAATGGCCCGCAGCCGCCACTGCTCGCGTGCTTGGCTGCCAGAGCGCTGCGTTGATGCTTTCCGCAAGTTCTCTGACCATATCTTGGGAGCCAAGATCGCCGGTCTGAAGACCCCTGACGGGCGTTCCCCGGCTTGGAGCAATGTGCTCCTCTATGAGGCTGAGGTGAGGAGACATGCTTACGAAGCGGTGCGAAAAGGAGATGCCAAGGACTTGGCTGTTGCTTTGCGCGATGCTTGCAAAGCACCAGACGTTGTCAGCACTTACTTCATCGTGCCCATCACCATGTCTGCAACAGCCCCTTCTAGCGGGCCATTTAGCGTGGCAAGCCCTATTAGGTCCAAAGGAAAAGGACAAGGAAAGGGTTCCAGCAAAAGCGGTGTCATCAAGAATTTTATCAAGAAGGGCCAAACCCCCGAGGGGAAGAAGATTTGTCCCGCCTTTAACCGCAAAAAGGGTTGTGATCGCCAAAATTGCCCTTTCAACCACTTGTGCCAGCGGTGCTTTGAACCCCCATTCTTATATGGCTTGCCCGAAGGTGACGCGTGCCGATGAGTGACTAGGGGACGTGGAAGCTGAGGTCGCATTTGCGGCCGGAGGGCGAGTTGACCCCATGGATAGTCCCCCTCCTGGAGGTGAGGTGGCTCTTGGGCATTTGCCTAGGGGCGTGCTCCCTCCTGACCATGTTGGAGGGCGCGTTGACTTCATGGATGGTCCCGTGAGGTGGCTCTTGGGCATTGGCCTAGGGGCGTGCTCCCTGGCGACTGGGTGTGCAAGCTCAGGGTGTGCTCCCTCCTCCGCCCGCCAAAACTGCGTGGCAAAGTCCCGACTCTGCATCGCCTACGGGTGGGGCCATGCCGTCGTGCAGCGTCGGGGAGTCATCAGCAGAGGCGTCATCCGACGAAGACGAGGATGGGCTTCAAAAACCGCTGCTGGGGTCAGGCATTTGGGGATGCGGGCCTCCTATGAGTCAGAAAATTCTAGGAAAGAAGAAGCCCTTCACAGATGGTCTAGGCTTGTGTTCACCGGGCCGCTGGGCCCCTAGCCGCAGGCAGAATGCTAGGGACCGTCCCTGCTTAGGTTTTGCAGAGCAGTTGGGACAAGAATTTTTGAAATTGCTAGAGCGGAGCTTGGCCATGCGGCAGATTGCTATGAAGCTGGCAGTGGGACATGCGAGCGAGTCACCCTTCAACACCGAGCTGCTAGAAGAAGGAAGGGCCATTCTTTTCTATGCCCTTGAGCTTGCCGGCACCAAGCTGCCAGTCAGACACAAGAGCGAAGGCCAGCCGTTTTACTTAGCGTATCAGTGGAGACCCAGATTGGCGCGTGTTCTTTACATCAAGCGCGTCGTTTGCGCGTGGTGTTCGCATTGGCTTTGAGTCTAAGGCCCCAAGGGTGCCTGCAGTGTTTGAAAGGAAGATGCGCTGGAGGAGGTATGAGGAAGAAGGTGCCGAGTGGGGCTTAGACAGGGAAAATTATTTGTCAGCAAAAACCCACGCCGCAGAGGTCCAGAGCCAGTTCCAAGAGGAAGAGAAGTTGGGAGCAATGGTTGAAATGGATGTATCAGAGGCGAAGGCAAGATATGGTAATCGCTTGGCAGTTGCTTCCTTGGGCGCGATAGAAAAGAAGAACGGCACCTATCGGGTTGTGCATGATGGAACGCATGGCATCGGGATTAATCCGCGGATCAAAGTTCGCGACCAGCTCAAGTCCCCGGGTGCAGGTGACGTCAGAGCAGTGCTGCAGGAGATGCCTGGATGTTTCTTTGCGCTGACGGGCGATGTGGCCCGTGCGCATCGGCTTGTGAAAGTAGCCGAGCAGGACTGGGGCCTGTTAGCTTGCCGGACCGCAGAAGGAGACAAGTTATGGCTGAACAAGGTAGGCTCGTTTGGCATCTCCAGCGCCGCCTACCACTGGTCGCGGCTGATGAGCGGCCTGGGGAGGGCAGTTTATTACACCCTGGGGAAGTCCGAGCTATACTTGTTAGTCTACGTCGATGATCTTTTGTGGATGGTTTGTGAAGCAAAAGGGCTGGAGCTGATTGTGATGAGCATTTTTCTCTTGGAAGTTTTGGGTTTGCCTTTTGCGTGGAAAAAGTTCAAGGGTGGCATTGACGTGGAATGGGTCGGTTTTGAGCTATGTCTGAAGGGGGCCAGACTGGGCTTGTCGGAGGTTCGTGCGCAGTGGTTGATCGAGTGGTTGGCAACAACAGCACAGCGTGGCACAGTGAAAATTGCGGATCTTGCCTTTGTTCTGGGGCGGCTATCATTTGGGTTGACGGCACTGGGACACTTGAGGCCTTTCTTGGGACCCATCTATGCTTGGGTTGCCGCAATGGGCAGCCTTGGGGAATGTAAGGTCCCAAAGGCGCTGGTTTTGATCTTCAGGTTTTTGGCGGCAGCATTGGAAGGCTCTGGCAGGTTGGCTAAAGCTGGAAGCAAGTGTGGACACGTGCAAGAGCTCTTCCGCACAGATGCAAAGGCCGAGGGCAATCAGATTTGGCTGGGGGGCTGGGCCTTAGATCATTCTGATCCCAAGTATTGCCGCTGGTTCTCTGAGCAGCTAAACCACAACAATGCGCCTTGGTTATTTGCCACCGGTGAATGTTACAGGCAGATCGCACCATTAGAGTTGCTCGCAACATTGGCTGCTGTTGTAACCTTTGGCATCCCTGAATGCGCTCGTGGGGGCATAAGTTGCTCTGCGGGAACAGACAACCTGGGAAACAGTATGGTCGTGGCGCGATTGCTGACCACCAAATTTCCTTTGGCTTGTTTCTTGATGGAGTTAGCTTTGCAGCTACAGAGGCGGGAGGCGGACTTGGAGTTGTTCTGGCTGCCGCGGTTGCAAAACGAAGAAGCCGATGCCTTGACGAACCAATGTTATACCGCCTTTGACCCAGTGAAGCGGTGCAGGTTCGATGTGGCCAAATTTGAAGGCATTGTTCTGATTCAGATTTTGGCAGCAGGGCAAGATCTTTATGAAGAAATAGGCCAATGAGTTGTTGGTCCAGCAGCGGCGAACCAAGGTTCGCAGAACCAACGGCTTGAAAGACTCTCACCCGTGGGGCTAAGATTGTTTTGCGCAGGGCAGGTTCGGGTGCGTGTGGGAACAAGGCTCGGGCGCCTTAGGGTTGGGGAGAGTAGAACTCGCCTCGCCCTGGATAAACACTAGCTGGTTGATCCTGTGTGAATCACAGGTGGGGACCGGGTTTAGCTAGTGTAAGGTTTGGCCCCGGGTTTGAGTCTTGTTGTTTTCCACCACCGTGACAAAAAGCGAGTCCCGCGCGTGTGTGCGAGGGTTAGTTGAGCAAACAGTGCATCTTCCATCAGTTCAAGTTAAGGGGTCGCGGTGGGTTAAGTGTTGAGTCCCAAGAAAATCCCCCAAAGTGTTCGCCTGCGAACAACGAAGCGGGATTTGATGGGACCCCCCTCCTCTTGATTCTTGTTTTGGGGATATAAAGCTTTTGGGGGACTCTTGGTTCACTTGTTCCATTCTTGTGATTTGCGACTACCTTTTGTGTGGAAGATGCGGATCTGTGTGCGATTGCTCTAAAGGTGACGGGCTGAACAGTTTTGGATGGTTTGCAGTTGCATTCCTCCAGGATTGCCTTGTGCGGTTGCACTGGGTTGGTGTTTTGTTTGCCCCCGCCCTCCCTCCCTGGTTTTTTGGGGAGAGTAGAACTCGCCTCGCCCTGGATAAACACTAGCTGGTTGATCCTGTGTGAATCACAGGTGGGGACCGGGTTTAGCTAGTGTAAGGTTTGGCCCCGGGTTTGAGTCTTGTTGTTTTCCACCACCGTGACAAAAAGCGAGTCCTGCGCGTGTGTGCGAGGGTTAGTTGAGCAAACAGTGCATCTTCCATCAGTTCAAGTTAAGGGGTCGCGGTGGGTTGAGTGTTGAGTCCCAAGAAAATCCCCACTCAGGGTGCTTTGGTTGTGAGCCCAAGTGCTCAGCTGAGTGTTGAAGTCCCAACGTTGGGCGGCATCCTGTGTGCAAGTTATTTCTGCTTAGTGTTGCTTGTATAGCAGCTCTTAAGTACATGCTCAGCTGCAGGTGGCAGTTGCTCGCTTTTGGCCGCAGGATTCAGTTTTCAAAATCGGTATGCATATTCATATACATGTTGCTCAGCTTCATTTCGTTCGGTTACGCTGCGTGAGGCAGCCTTTCCTTTTTGCTGCAGGAGGCAGCTTTTCTTTCTTGCTGCAGGTGGCAGCTTTTCTCTTGTGCTGCAGGAGGCAGCTTTCTCTTTCTCGCTGTAGGTGGCAGCTTTTCCTTTTTGCTGCAGGAGGCAGCTTTTCTTTCTTGCTGCAGGAGGCAACTTTTCTCTTGTGCTGCAGGAGGCAGCTTTTCTTTCTTGCTGCAGGAGGCAGCTTTTCTCTTGTGCTGCAGGAGGCAGCTTTCTCTTTCTCGCTGCAGGAGGCAGCTTTTCTTTCCCTTCGGTGCAGTAGGCTGTTGCAATGTGTCTTGCAGCTTCCTTTGCGCAGTTTGTGTGACTGGTCTTGCACCATGCGGTGTTTTTTCTTTCCGCGCATTGTTGCGACGTGAGGTCGAGCCAGTTAAAGCTTAATTGACACGTGTGGAGCAAGCCCTTCAAGGTTTTGCAACGTTTGTTGTTTTTATTGTTGCTGCGTGGCACCATGCCTTCATCTTGGTCGGAGATCATGACAAAGGTGGGGTTGGCTGAAGCGATTCAGGAAGCAATCATTCAGGAGGGCTATGATGCAGCTGACATCTTCGGATTTGCCTTTACGGACAGTTCGGCGCTTGAAGCCTGGCTGACTCGCTTCCAAAGCAAGTGTGAAGCTTTCAAAGATTTACCACCAGCGGAATGGATTTCGCATCCGTGGCGGCTAAGTGCAGGATTTTGTGGCAGCAAGTTTCAAAGCCTGCGCCCCCACCTGCGCCAGAAGCCGGTGTGTCAACTGCCGCGCCACTTCCTGCCTGCACGAAACTGTCTACTACTGACCGTGACCGTATGCACAAAGAAGTAGAAGCAAAATATGCATCACATGTGTTTTGCCATGATACTTTGCCTTCCATGGGTTTGCTTCAAATAGTCAAGCAGCAGTGCGTTGGCAAACATTGGGAATGGATTCCCTGGAAACGTATCTTGTCAGAAGCCATATCGCAAGAGGCACGGGCCCGGCGAGCTGCCGACTCCCACAATGACTTGTTACATTTAGTTGCTGACTCTGTGGGAGTCCTGCGGGAGGAGCGAGGGCCGGACAATGTTCAGTCTGCATACCGGATCCAGTGCCTGCTGGAGACACGGGCCAATGCTTTTGCGATGTGTGGGGCATGTCACCTAGGCTCGTGGACGCTTTACAACAAAAAGTTTCTAGCCTATTACACCAAGAAGGTTGGGGACACCTACCGTGGTCCGTCTGGAGCAAAAGCGGAGGAGGCTGACCATGTGGCTGTTCAGGAAGTATTTGATTTGTGTTTTGCGGGCTGCAGCATGGATGATGCTCTCCACCAGGTATCGGTGGAACGAGACATCTTGCGCCACTTGCTGGTCTCGGTCCCAAAGCCGATGCGCAGTGACAGACCAAAGGGGGAGGGCAAAGGCACTGGGAAAGGCAAGCCGCTGAAGCGCAACGGGCTGCCGGATGGACCGGCAGAGAACATGTCCCGGCCAAAGCGACGCCTGCCCTTGCCCCCTGCATCCAAAAAACCACGGTCTGGCGAATGTTTTGCTTGGATGGATGGTCGTTGCTCGGATCCCAATTGCAGATTTAAGCATGTGTGTGCCTCGTGTGGCAGTTCGCAGCATGTTTCGCGGTCTTGCCCACAGAGCAAGGAGTGACAACCCTATGACGCCGGCTCCGCTGGGTGCCCAACAGTCGGTGCGGTGGCTCAAGCCCGACGACCCAGCGGCGGCTCCCCTGTGCCAGAAAATCCGCATTGTTTGATTGCCCAGGGTTCCAAGCAACCGGTTGCATTTGAACCCGCATCGCAGATAGGTAGTGCTTCAGGCTTCACAGTGAAATTGCGTGATGGCGGGAATTTGCTCGGATGGTGATTGGTGTACGCCACGTGATCCAGACCTTGCAGCAGACTTGAGGCAGGTGTGGTGGTCTAGAATTATGGATTGGGGCTTGGTCCCGCGACTTCGTGAGCATGTTCTCACGTGTGCGCGCACGCCTTTGTTGAGTGACGAAGAGATCCAGGTGCTACGTAGTGATCTGTGTTCTTTTTTGAAAAAGCAAGGGTGTGCATGCAGCGAGACAATTGCTAGTCATCAGCCTATCACGCTAGATCTGCTTAAAGGAATGCTGCAGCTCTGGTCTGATACAGACGTGGGGCTGCCAGACCAGCTGGCTTTGGGTGTGCCAACAGGTGTACTAGAAACAATTCCGCCCTCTGGTATTTGGCGAGAAATCGAGATTCCAGATCGACCTCCTGATGAACTTCTGGTGTGGGATGAACCTTGGCCTGCCTCGATGATCCAGGCCTGCTGTTGGCAGTTGTGCAATCTGATGTAAAGGACGGCTTTGCTGAGTGGCTCCCTGGTGGCATGGAGGAAGCTCGAAAGCGGTTTGGCCCGCACTGCGCTGCTGGCAAGTTCGGCGTTGTAAAGAAAGACGGTTCTGCCCCAAGGTTAGTCGGTGACAGTTCAATTTCAAACGTAAATGGCTTGTGTCGAATCAGAGAGAAAATTGAACTCCCTGGGATCTCTAGCATTGGGGCCTTCGTTTCTCGGCATGCGCATCAAGATTGGATCGCTTTTAGCTTGGATTTCAACAAAGCGCACAAACGCGTAAAAATTCACCCGTCAGAACAGGGACTTAGTATTTTCGCTGTGCCTGATCAAGATGGTGTTTGTCATTGGGTCTTTTACCGGACCGCGCACTTTGGTGCTTCCTGGGCGAGTTATTGGTGGTCGCGTTTGGCTGCAGCCTTCGTGAGAACGGGGCACCGCCTACTTCACCATCCACATTTTCTATGCATATATGTAGATGATACTTTTGCGCTTCTACCACGGAAGGTTGCAGGTCAAATGGCGTGCTTGCTCGTCTGCCTTGCGTGTTCGTTGGGGTTTCCACTTTCCTGGCATAAGATGGCGTTTGGGGACTCCCTTCAATGGATTGGATGGGCCTTGCATGTTAGCGGTGATCCGTGTGTTGTGCTACCAACAGACAAGCGGCAGCTCATCCTGTGCGCGCTCAACAGCATTTGCGCGAGCCCCAAACGTGTGTCGCGTAAAGACCTGCAGACACTGGTTGGCAGACTAGTTTGGTTCTGCGCAGCGGCTAGCTCTCTGAGACCTTGGTTGCAGGTATGGTTTCATGCACTACACAAGCCTGGGCTGCATTTTTTACAGCTTGACATGGTTCAGCTCAGCGAGCTTCATGGTGCTATCGACAAAGCTGGTAAAGTAGTCCGTGCTTGTAGACATTGCGATGCACAGTCAGGTTGGCGCGTGTTGGAGTTAGCTGGCTCGGGCGTCCGATCTGCCAACGATGTGTTGTCCCCCCCGCTAAAGCAAGGTCGTGTCTGGGTGAAATTTGGAGAGCCAGAGCCAAAAATCATCAAGTTCAGCCAAGAGGAGTTAGCTGTGGCACGTTTTTTCAAACGCCTGCTCGCATGTTCAGATCCCATCCCGCTGGTGGAGAAACCGGGCCCAGTATCAGTAGCAGCTGCAGATGCTTTTGCTGAGGATGGTTGGTTCGGCATTGGAGGCTGGTTTTTGCTACCAGGTGCTGCGCTACACCCATCCAATATTTGTTATTTCACATATCAGCTTCAACACAGTGAATTGCCAAGATGGTTCACCAGACCAGGCAAGGATTTGCAGGCTTATATCGCGGCGTTAGAGGCTTTGGCACAGCTAGTCTTGTTGGATTGCCAGCGACGAGTGATTCAGATGCACAGCAGTTTTGCTTGGATTAGCTTGCGTCAGTTTTGCGACAACGCCGGGGTGGTTTGCGTGTCGCAGAAGGGCCTATCTTTGCGCCAGCCGCTTGCTGGTGTGCTTCAATCTACAGCACTATATGC